TCCCGCAACCCCAGGCGTCTCTTTGACACCTTTAATTCTCTTCTTCGCCCCGCTGTGGCCACCCCCCAAACCAACCTTACTGCTGATAACTTTGCATGTTACTTCACTGACAAAATTGAACAGCTAAGGAAAGAATTCTCCCCTCCTTGCCTTTCTGTTTCTCAATCACACATAGATCATGCCTTTCCTACCCTTCAGATATTCTCCCCAGCCACTGACCAAGAGGTGGCTGCTCTTCTTTGCTCCTCTCGCCCCACCACTTGCCCCCTCGATCCTGTCCCATCTCACCTTATCAGATCTCTCTCCACTTGTCTCGTGCCTTCTCTAACACACATCTTCAACTGCTCGCTCTCTTCTGGCATCGTCCCTGCTGACCTTAAACATGCCACTGTAGTACTTATACTAAAAAAAACATCCCTCGACCCGTCCACCCCCTCTAACTACCGTCCCATATCCCTGCTCCCTTTTTCCTCAAAGCTTCTGGAAAGACTTGTCTTTACCCGTGTGTCTCATTTCCTCGATTCCAACTCTCTCCTTTACCCCCTTCAATCTGGCTTCCGCCCTCTCCACTCTACAGAGACTGCCCTTATCAAAGTTACTAACGACCTAATCGCAGCTAAATCCAAAGGCCACTACTCCATACTAATTCTTCTTGACCTCTCAGCGGCCTTTGACACCGTTGATCATGCTCTCTTTCTTCAAACTCTGCAATCGCTTGGTCTCTGTGACTCTGTCCTCTCATGGTTTTCCTCTTATCTCTCCCAACGCTCATTCAGTATCTCTTTTTCTAATGATACCTCCTCCCCTCGCCCTGTCTCGGTTGGAGTTCCCCAAGGCTCCGTCCTTGGTCCCCTTCTATTTTCTCTTTATACTGCCTCTCTTGGCAAACTTATTACCTCATTTGGATTCCACTACCACCTGTACGCTGATGACACCCAGCTATATCTCTCCTCCCCAGACCTCTCCCCTGCTGTCCTGCAACGTGTCACTGCTTGGCTTTCTTCCATCTCTGAATGGATGTCCTCCCGCTTTCTGAAACTCAATCTCTCAAAAACTGAGCTCCTTGTCTTTCCTCCTCCTAATACTGATCCTCCTCTTTGCACTCCCTTCAAGTTTGTGGTACCAACATCAGCCCATCCTTGCAAGCGCGCTGTCTTGGTGTCATACTTGACTCTAGTCTCACCTTTGAGCCTCACATCAGCATGTTGCCAAATCCTGTAGATTCCATCTTAAAAACATAGCCCGCATCCGCCCCTTTCTTGCACCAGATACTACCAAGGAGCTTGTCCATGCTCTAATAATTTCACGCATGGATTATTGTAACCCTCTCCTGCTTGGTCTTCCCAAAAGCCGTACTGCACCCCTACAGTCTGTAATGAATGCTGCTGCTAGACTGATTTTTCTCTCTAGTCGGTTCTCTCACACCTCACCCCTCTGCCAGTCCTTACATTGGCTTCCTGTGTGCTATAGGAGTCAATTCAAGGCACTAACTCACACTTATAAAGCACTGAACAACTCTAGCCCCTCTTATATCTCCTCACAGTTCATAGGTATGTCCCTTCTCGGTCTCTCCGCTCTGCCCGTGACCACCTCCTGTCCGTTGTCCGCACCCGTACGGCCAACTCGCGCTTGCAGGACTTCTCGCGGGCGGCTCCCTTCCTATGGAATAGCCTGCCTACCGCCATCCGACTCTCCCCTAGTCTTGCATCTTTTAAGAAGTGCCTTAAACCCCATCTCTTTAGGAAAGCTTATGGCCTCCAAGACTAACCCCTACCTCACATACCTGTCTCTTGCCCTCTCCTAAAGGGCAGCCCACCTTATTTGATTGCAAATTCCTGTCCTACTGTGTTTTACACCCCACCTCCTATAGAATGTAAGCTTGATTGAGCAGGGTCCTCTTCAACCTATTGTTCCTGTAAGTTTATTTGTAATTGTCCTATTTATAGTTAAATCCCCTCTCATAATATTGTAAAGCGCTATGGAATCTGTTGGCGCTATATAAATGGCAATAATAATAATAATAATAATAATAATGTGAGCAATATATTACTTTGCTGCAGAGGGATTTAGATAGACTGGGGGACTGGGCACTCAAATGGCAGATGACATTTATTGTAGAAAAATGCAAAGTTATGCACTTCTGCGTCAAGAATGCACAAGCAACTTACACCCTTAATGGAAGCAAATTAGAGATAACCACACACGAGAAAGACTTGGGAATTGTTATAGACAACAAACTATGCAACAATGTGCAATGTCAATCAGCAGGCCAGTAAGGTATTGTCATGCATGAAAAAGGGCATTCATTCTCAGGCTAAGAATATATTTTTGCCTCTTTATAAATCCCTGGTAAAACTATATATTGAATATGCTGTGCAATTTTGGGCACCTGTTCTAAAGAAGGATATTGTGGCAGTAGAAAGAGTGCAGAGGCGGGCTACAAAATTAATAAAAAGGAATGGAACATTTTAGCTATGAAGAAAGGTTAACCAATTTAAACCTCTTTAGTTTAGAAAAACTTTGCCTCAGAGGGGATATGATAACATTATACAAATATATTTGCGGCCAATACAAATCATTGTGTGGAAATCTATTTACAAACAGGACTTTACATAGGACACAAGGTCATGCGTTTAGACTGGAATAAAGAAGATTTCGTCTAAGGCAAAAGTGGAAAAGGGTTTTTTACCTCATAAGAACAACAAGGATATGGAATTCTATTTTGCCTGAAGAAGTGGGTTTTTCAGAGTCCTGCATAGATGTTTATACAGCAACTAGATGCATACTTGCAAAACAGAATATTCAAGGATATAAATTTCAATATAGGTAAATGCGCTTTGATCCGCGATTCAATCTGACTGCTATTCTGGGTCAAATCTGACTGCTACCCTCACGCATGTATGCGGGCGGGTGCGAGGAATTGTTTTCCCTACTTTGTTGCAAAATTGGAAGTGCTTCAAACTGGGGTTTTTTTTGGTCTTCTTTTGGATCAACAGCAAAAAAAAAAAAAAAACATGAGGAGGGCTGAACTTGATGGACACATAGCTCTTTTTAGCCTATGAAACTATGTAATAGAAAGACACAATTGGAGGGAAAATAATAAAATTAATATTGTGCCAATGTTGTGGGTCAATTGTATAAATAGAACTCATTTTGTGTATAATTTCTGGTTCTGGAACAAATAAAATGATTATAGTTTTCATTTGCAGTGTTACATGTAGATATTATGTAGATATTGTTTATTCATGGATGAATAGCTTAATTATAATATGAAATATAATATCAGTTATGAACTGTGTAATTAAGAATAAGGTATCAATTGTACTATTATGTTTCTTCTCCTCCTCTCTTTTCCTGCATTGCAGAGTTGATGTATAAGGCAAAGTGGAACGCAAAACCCCAAATTAAAAAGGGCAGTTCAGTTGAACGCACAATACGGCCACCATGTTGGATTGAAGGTGGAATGCAAATGGTGGCCGCATGGAATGCTCTCATCACTTCCGGCGAACAAGGATGAATACAGAGTTTACCAGAGAAATATGAGGATTAAGTGAAGCCCGCTGGAAATTAGGTTTCACCCATGGAACCACCAATGAACTGCGGACTGACCTTATATATACATCCTGCCATTCCCTCAGGGGAGTTTTAATGTGATTTCTTATTGGGTTTTTTTTTTTTTACATATCAAAAGGTGCATCAACAGCACAGATTTGGCGGTAGAAGCAGAACGGAACTTGTACCTGTGTCATGCTGTTACAATAACCTAACTGGGTGCTAAGTTGTTTGTACCCAGTCTTATTTCGTGAGCGTATTTCATCCATCTGTTAACCGGGCGTTTCATTAAGGATACTCCTATAGGCGTATAGGAGAATTTCATAACTTTGATTCACCATATGACCAAAACACAAAACAACCGAAGCAGACACTGGATAAACTGTTTAGGTTGATTTGTTCCATATAATGTGCCAAAAAATAGATGATTAATGGTACTAAAATGTTGATGTAATGCACAGATCAAGTGAGGACTGACCAATAAATGGAAAAATCAAAGAGCAGCAAAAATAATTTATATTTTTATATTATATTTATTAATTACATTTGTCCTAACCTAAAAACATCATGTGGACAAATCTTGGACTGACCAAACTTTTTTTTTTTTTTTAGATATATCAGTTCGGGAAACTCTAAACTTTATTTTTTCTTTGCATAAGTATGCTATATTAACATGCTTTACATTATTTAAAGGGACAATGTAAGCACCAAGAAAATATTAGCTTAATGAAGCAGTTTTTTTGTGTACCACTGCTCAATTCTCTGTCATTAAGGAGTTAAATCACTCTGTTTCTGGAGCTCTAGACACACTTCAACATGTAAAGAGATGTTTAAACTGCATTTAATTTAGAATGTTTTATCTCCTGCTCTGTTAACCCCTTAAAGACAGATTTAATTGTACAAGCTCTGAACAAAAACAAAACCTAGAATTTAAGCTATATGTTTGTTCAACCATAATTTACCTCCTTTATATTAAGTGCACCTACCCTTATCATATATCATTTTGTTCAGGGAAAATATGGCTTTCATTTCCCATCAAACAATTATGTATAAAACATAATGTAATAGGAATAATATCTAAAAAATTGAGACACAGAGACACACACTGCATCCCTTACATACACAGAAACACACCTTGCATCCCTTCCACATACAAACACAGATTCACACAATGCATCCCTTAAACACAACTGTTGTGGAAATAAGGTCTACACATATTTCCTGGTTAAAGGAAAATGTCTATTTACTCATTTTACAATATATATATATATCTCACATATAAAGCTAAGTACACATATTTCAATCAAGATGGCTGCTAGAAGCTTCTAACCCCTCCTTCCCCTCCCTTTTTAAACATCGACTAACTACCTCGTGTAACAAGATGGCGCCGGAAAACCGTGGGAGACCCTCATGGTCCCGGTGACATCACCTGCAGTAGGCAGAGCATTAGAGCAACCACTTAACACCTAACCAATTATTGATGTATATTCCATGTTATCTCTGACAATGCATATGATGTAATTTTGCTTTAAAAGGGACTTGCCGTCCCCTCTGAATAAACTTTCCTCAAGTTATTCAACAACCTAGAACCTGTGTCTGGTGTGAATTACTTCAGGGAGCGTGCACGCATAGTTTCATTGATTTGGCCAGGGGCAGATACACAAGAAATAATCAATACCTTAATTGATTTTTCCACTTCAATTGGCGCCCAACGTGGGGCCCACCGGAGAGCCGGTTCGGAGAGCCGGAACCAACGGACCGGAGCGGACCTCCGGAAAGTGGGACAAGCGGAGCCTGATCACCTCCATAATACAGCCGTTGCCTGTGTTATTCTCCTGTTTTGTGCCGGTCTGTCTCCGAGTCCACTTCCGGCTTCCAGAAGGCTACTAGAGACAGGTAATTAACTCATCCGGTGCGCCCTTTTTAAGTGAACCTGTCGATTGTCTATCTGCCTTCTGTATTCATTTATGTGTGTGTGTTTATTATACCTTTAAGATATGTTTGCTTGACTGCCTAGCGGGCAGGGAACGCATTTTATATGTTTGCTTGACTGCCTAGCGGGCAGGGAACGCATTTTATATGTTTGCTTGACTGCCTAGCGGGCAGGGAACGCATTTTATATGTTTGTTTGACTGCCTAGCGGGCAGGGAACGCATTTTATATGTTTGCTTGACTGCCTAGCGGGCAGGGAACGCATTTTATATGTTAGCTTGACTGCCTAGCGGGCAG